CCTGCCTCTTTCCTAGGAGCCTCCTGGGAAAGCCGCTGTCCCAGCACAGCCCAGTGGTGGCTCAAGCTGACTCCCACTCCCTCCCCACCCCCAACCCCTGCCTGCCCTGGAGGTATCTGTAGCAGCTACAAGGGCCATTTTTAATAAAGACTATGAGTGATTCTTGTAGATGTCAAGTAAGTACTGAATACTGGTGACTGGTTCCCCTCCTAGATTCTGAGAGTCTAGCGTTTGTCAAGGAAATGTTCTCCAGCCTTCTACCCCCACTCTCCACCCCCACCCCCTTCTGTCTTTACATTCCAGCTCCGAGGAAGGCCATTTGGTGAAATACCTACTACAAATTTCCTTTTGTGGAGCTCAGCGCAGACAACAGGGATCCCTTCTGTCCACAAGGTGCTGTGTGGAGGAGCTCGGCTCTGTTCAGAGGGGCTGACCACGTGGGAGCTAGCTTAAGAGAGTCAAAGAGGCCATCTGAATTCTCTCCACTCAAGGGCCATGCCAGGTTGTGAATGCGCACACACAGCCTGCACACTTGGGTGTGCAAGAGTCTCTCCTAAGCAGGTTCATCACAGTAGGTTCCTGTATCCTTAGGATTCATCACCGAAGGCGCCTGTGAACCTTGATGGGAAATAACATACTGTCTGTTCAAAAATAAGAAAAGCATTAAGTCTTCCATCAGGGTTGCCTTCTGTTGAAAAACCAAATACAGAGTGCACACACCTGCAATGCCAGCACTCGGGAGGCGGAGGCAGGAGGAGCATGATCTTGGGTTGAAGGCCATTCCTATGGTAGATAGTGAGTCCCCACTTCAGACAAACACAACCACAGCAAAGTGTGAGACCAGCAAAAGATGACGCCCCGTCCCCGATTCAAAAGTCTATCCTGGCTCCTTCTGAGCAGAGCTGTTCTTAGGTTGTGTTGTATAAATCGAATTCTCAGTGTGCAGAACTATCTCAGCATCAACTGTATTAGAAATAGTAAGATTCGCTGCCGGGCTCCCTGGGGGTTAGAGCTGGGAGGGCTGATCTTTATGTTAATAGGGAGAGCACCTGCTTGAGCAATCTGGGAGCACAGGTTTTCTTCCCACGGTGCTTTCTCCATGTGAATTAATCTGCTAGCTGGTATGTGTGTCAGTTTATTTAGGGACATGTGTGCTGACAATTGGCTTCTGACTGTAAAATATGGTCTTGGGGGAGACCATGATTAATTGCCTACCTTGCAGTGTGTGTATGTATGTGCGTTCGACGACAGGCATTATCAGTGCGCATGTGTCTATGCAACGAAAGGCAGGCAATCATTCAGACATCGGAAGTGTGAATAAACAGACAAGCTCTTGGAGTTATCTGGACTTTCGTTCTCTTCGCGGACAGTGAAAAGTTTCTGCACCTCATAAGCCTCTCTGCTGAAGCAACACTCCAAATCAAACTGAATTAGAAAAAGCCCAGCATGTTCCTGGATGATTTTCTGCCCCCCCCCCAAAAAAAACAAGTGTTTGTTTTCCGGAGGAGAAAGCAGCGTGTGTGTGTGTGGGGGGGGGGGGAGCAGTTTAAATATTCTGTGGGAGTGGTCTTGAGCATCTCTCGGGGAGGAGCCCTGTTTACTGGGTTTTCTGAGATGAGACAGGGATTGGGGAGAAAGAGATGGCAGAGGGAGATTGAGGTTGTGCTTCTAGCAGAACTTTCCAGACTCTGGGTATATGGATGCCAGGACTTGGGGTGGAGCTTCCACCAGAACATTCCAGGCTCTTTGGATATATGGATGTCAGGGACTGGGGTGGAGCCTAGGAGATCTTATTTCTCCTTGAATGTTTCATTTTCAGATCTAAGACAGGAGACAGTTCACGGCAGGAGATGTTTCCCGCAGCGCTAGGTATTACAGCAGCACACACCGTATTTAAAGGAAAGGGTGCTGAGTGTGATGGCAACTGCTTGCCGCCCCAGCCCTTTGGGAGCCAAGACAAGCTCGAGGCTAGCTTGAGTGGCACAGGGAGAGTCTAGTTCAAGACAACAAACAAGCAAAACGCCCCAAGCAAAGCAGACCAGCTATGAGAGTAAACAGAAAGAAGTAGGGCTACATCTCCAAAGGATCTGTATAGTAACAAGTTGTTTGTCTTCTGGCTTTTGTTTCTGTCTTTGAAAGCCGCTAGTGGAGGTCAACCCCCGGATTCAAAATCATAACAAGGTAGCGTTCTGTTGGTCTCTTGTTAGAACCCAGAACAACACATGACTGGATAATATAGTCCCCCGAACAGAAATAAGCAGCGCAAGAAACATTGCTTCCTTATAAAACTAACACTGTAATAGGAAAACAAAAAGTGCTATCAGAGAAAGTAAAATATTAAGCTTAAGAATTGGCTGTTGTTAAAAGCTCGCAGCACTGATAGACAGCTGGGCGCCTCTGCATCATAACTTTGGTCAGGGGTGGCATCCTGAAGACTCTTAATCTCAGCATCGGCATTCTCCATTGGAATATTACTGTAGCATCAAAACCCGGAGTGAATTTAAGGGGTGAAAAAAATGGGAGCACACAGAGGTGGCCAGCTGAGAGGACACTCTCCCAGGGTATGCAAGTGACAACCCTGTCTGAATGCTGTGTGCCTGGCACACGCCACCTCACCTGGTCCCTGGCTTGTTAGAGACTGGCCTTGGGAGGTTGCTTTAATCATCGTGTGGTTCTTCCAGGGGGAAAGACCTGGAGCTGGGACCTCAGTCAAGCGGACTGCCTGGGGAAGGAGAATATTGCTGAGATGAAGAGGGTGAACGGAAATCTGGACGAGAAGGACAAATCATCTCTAAGTTGAGTAAGACCAGAGGAGGAGGCGGCAGCACAAAGGGCAGCGATGGCACTCCACCGGAGGCTGTTGCAGGGAGACTGTAAAAAAGAGCAGCTTCCTGCAAACTAAGTGGTCAGGAGAATAACAGCGTTGCTGTGGCTAGATTAGGGCCAGGATTTGTTGGGAAACCAGGTCGGGAGAAAGCTGGTGTTCATGCGAAGCAGGCGGTGACTGCCTCCAGTTCAGACGATGTGATGGGCTCCTTTCCTTGCTTTCCCGGGAGAAGTACTCGAAGATCTTTCAGTCCCTCAGCGAATGTTTACTGGTGTCTACTAAGAGCTAAGTGGTAAGGAGCTGGAGATCTGCTGTGAAGGAGCTCTCCATCTAGGAGCTGGCAAAGGGAGAGGAGAGGTGAACAGAGGAGCCTAATATTGCGCAGGACAAGAGCCCTGTGGGAGGGAGGGCCACAGTTCTGTCGTCCGTGCCGGAGAAGTATTTAGGCCTCCTGGAGGGAGCCAATGGCCAGGGCTAATTAGGCATTCTCCAGCAAATCCTGGAGGAACTGCCTTCTAGGCGTAGAGAACAGAGAACTCAGGATGGAAAGGCATCTCCTCCATTGTCTGGGTGGATTGGGAGCACAATGGACGTGGTGCTAAAGCAGGAGACAAGCAGCGGGTCAGCAGGTCTAGGAGAAGTAGCCAGAATGGCTCGGAGGGAGTTTCCTAAGCACCGAGGTGATAGCCAAGGGGAGCTAGGAGCAGCTAAGGCTTGCTTGATGAAGACTGGAAAGTGAGGTTTTGAGACGGGGAGGAAGGTGGCCTTGGCTTTCCTGGCAGGGTAGCCAAGGCCATCTGTGTGTGCACTGAACAAGAGACTCGGGGAGCACACAAGAGGCTCCCTGGAAATTCCAGAGAGGAAATGAAAGGATTGCCACATTGTCATTATTTGAAATTCACAAAGACTTTCGTCAGCCACGTAACCAACTCTCACCGACACCCCAGCCCTACATCTGTTGATCTGCTTTTAAATGTGGTGTGATCGACCCTCCCAGTATCTGCAGAGATGGAAGTGCCAGGCGTGACAGTCCTGGGCAGGAGCCAAGGCATATTGATTACATACTGTCTATCCTCTTGTCGGGGCTTGTTTGTTCCAGAGTCAAACGTCACCCAACAGGAAGGGCTTCTTTATGGAACTCCAGTCATGAGTCTTGGCGGGAGTTTGTTTGTGTATTTAAAAGGGGGGTCCCCCACCTTCTTAAATCTCAAAGAGAAGAATCATACAGAAGATGCTGGGTAGCTGGCTCAAAATACTCTCGTCTGAACTCTGGAGGTTTCAGTCCACACTGATTTATAGTAGTGCTGACCCTTAACTTTGGGTGAAGAATCTCCTAGACTCCAGCTGTGGTGACGAGCCCCCGAAACACACACAGCTATGGTGATGAGCCCCCACCCACTCCACAGCTAGGGTGATGAGCCCCTAAAACACACAGTTTGGGTGATGAGCCCCCCAAAGCTAGGGTCATAAACATCCCCCCACACAGCTAAGGTGATAAGCCCCACCCACACATACAGCTGAGTGTGGTATATCTCTGTGTGGTGTATGTGCGCGTGTGTGTACAGGGGTATGTGCCTATGTTTGTGTGTGTCTGCACAGAGGCCCGAGAAAGGTGCTGGATGCTTTGTCCTTACTCCCTTGAGGTCTCTCACTGAATCTTGAGGAGTGCTTGTATCCTGCAACTCTCCGTAATCCCCTTGTCTCCACGCTCTGCAGTACTGGGGTTACAGGTGTGTGGAGTCATGTTCACCCCTGTCTTGCAATCGCTTCTAATCACCTGCTTCTTTATTAGATGCGAGCTCCCTTGAGAGGAAGAATGGCCTCCATCTCACAGAGATTTGCCAGTCTCTTTCTCTCCAGAGTGCTGGGATTAAAAGCCGCCACCACTGCCCAGCTTCCGGATTTATGGAGACTGCTGAAGTCTGGCAAGAATGGTGGGCACACAGGGGTACGTGTGGGTAACTGACCTTGGGTGGGCTATGAAGCTTTTTGTGGGGACTAAGCCAAACAATAACCTTTCTGAGTTCTGTCCAAGTCACAGGGCCCGAGTGTTTTTTGTCTGTAGTCTTCCCCACATGAGTGGGTTCTCCTCCAGCACTCTGAGCCTCACGAAGCTGGGGGGCTCTTAGTCTCCATCTACCCTCTGCTCTCAGGACCCAACCTCGAGGCAGCCTTCACACTGCCTGTGGTCTCTAGGATGACTTCTGTCTGGATGCTGGCTGCTCCGTGAGCTGTTGGCGGAGCTCCAGTGAGCCCTGTAGTCTCTGCCGGACTTGATACCAATAAAAGGTGAGCTCTGGAGAGAATTTTGCTTCTTAGTTGTTTGTTTGTTTGTTTTCCTCTTTGGTTCTTGCTAGGGTTCCCGTGGAAACTAGAGGGTGTACCGTGAACTCATGATTTTGGTTTTCCTGTGTAAGCAGTTCTTGGGGTCCTCTGCCTGAGGGTGATGTAGAAAGTCTCTTTGTCATCCCCATGCTAATTCTTCTTCCCTCTCTCTTTGTTACTCTGCTTTCCCCTTCTCTGCTTATGGAATTCTGCTTTCTCCAGCATTTCCCTTGGGGCATAACCACCCCCAGCGCCCACCCTACTCCCATTCCCACCCTCTGCATCTGCTTCCTTCTGATCCAGCTTGCCTTTGTTCCTGCTGTTGAAGCTGGTCGGGAGTTCACGCCACACATTTTCACGGTGAAGACAACTTCTTTTTCAAAGAGTCCCTGGGCATTCAAATATTTCTAAAATGAAGCAAACACTAGAGGAAGACATGGAGAGGGTGTGAGTCTGTCGCAGCAGAGGTCCCCCGAGGTGAGAATGCTGGACGCCCACTTCCTCCTCTGCCAGGCTAGTGACAGCTCTCTCAAAAACACATGCAGGGCAGAAAGACTGGTTTTCTCTGTCAGATGAAGGAATTTCCATAAATATAATTAAAATAATGTGGAAGGCATATATGGCCCACACATTGAAACCAGGGGCTTAGCAGATATTTATATACCCACATACACAGCAAGCAGTGTTAGTGGACGCGGTGGAAAGAACCCAAACACCAGCAGAAGAGATTAGGTTTGAGGGGATAAGCAAATTCGGCATATGCATACAATGCAATCTTAGCCTTAGAAAAGAATGAAATTCTGATACAGGCTACAGCATAAATCAACCTTGAATATATTTTGGTGAGTGAAGTAAGCCAGATACGAAAAGATGGCTACTGTGTCATTTCTCCTGTATGAGAAACTCAGAGCCGTCAAACTCATAGACTGTAGAGTGGTGGTCACCAGAGGCCTGGGAGAGGGCCACGGAGTGACTGTCTAAGGGGTCAGCATTGCTGCTCAAGGAGACGATTGTGTATACACACGTGCATACACTTAATCATCCAGTGTTAGCCATTGAGTCTCTGCGGGACTGAACTGCACACTTAAAACGGCAAGATTGGTAAAGCCGCGTTAGCTGTCCTTTCACCACAATAGACAAATAGAACAACCAGCAGCGTGGATATCATAGTTTTGTTGTTTCTCCATAATTCATTTTTCTCTTTGGTCCAGGCTATGGAGAGAAGAATCAAAAGATGATTGGAGATTCACCTACCAACGTAGCTGCTGCTTGTGTGTCTTCTTTCTACGCCACGCTGCTCATAAAGCTTATTAATAACACCGAAGCACACCTTCCTTCTAAGTAATTTTTCTCCCGGTGACTTTTGTGCACCAGCCTAGGAAAGAAAACATCTTTATTGAGGCGAATGCATGCTTGCCAAAGTTACCAAAACAAACCCCGTGACTGTGGCAACCCTTGGAACTGGGCTGGGAAACCTGGATTTTGCAATTCTTAGACACACACTGAATGACACTTCTTGTCCTGGGCTCCCTGACTTCATACAGGAAGTATGTGACCTCCAGGTCCCCGGGCTTTCTGAAAGGGAACTTTGACAGGGACCAAACGAGCAGTGGGATTCCTCTCAGCTCAGGTAATTTTTTGTGGCTGATAGTTGTGTTAAAGTTTTGAAAAGCAAATACCACCTGCTTGCTTAACCTGAGAACGGGAGCTCGGGTGGAATGAACTCAAATTTGATGGCCAGACGCCCTGAGCGCTTGGCAGACTTATAGGGTGATTTTTAGTGAGTCATTTTGACATTCTGTGTCTGCATGCCACAGGGGAATTTAGGGTTGAAAGTGGCCCCCTCACACCTGCCAGTTTCCTTAGGGTGACCCAGGTTAAATTCCTCTCTGCAGTTTGGGGAGCAGGCATGGGATGAAACACACACACCAGCTCCATTGTGACATAAAATCCAAACAACATGAAATCCCAAAACCTGTAAGACACTGCTTCCTTTGACCTATTTCAAATATCACACTGGGATTTCGTCCCTTCCTCTTTACTGCTCTCTTTCCCCTCTTTCGTCCCTTACTCCCATTCTACCCTTTCTTTGATTTTCCATTATCCTTTTGCAGTTCATGCACCCTGAGTATTACACTTTTGCCCATTTATGTCTTCCAGAGCTACACATGCATGACTCCAGCGTGTATGCATGCACACACACATATGCCACATACACACACGCCACACACATACGCACATACACACATGCACACAAATGCGCTCATGAATGCATGAACACTCACATGCACTCATGCACAGCCATACACACACCAAATTACTCTATGTCTCAGTTTTCTTGCAAGCCTTCAGGCATGGATTGTAGGTATTATATTGTGGGACTATATATTCCATTATATTATGGAAAATGGAGGGAGCTGGCAAATAGATGGTTGGTCGAAGTCACTTGAGAACAGAAAAGATGGAGATAGCATAGTAACGAGTCCACCCTTAACACTTTCCTAGAGCTCTCTTCAGTTGCCACACACAAAAGCCAGGTCTTCGGCCTTGCCAAATACTAGGCCTACTGAGGAGCCCAAAGTGGGGGACAAGAAGGCATGCTATGTCTATGCTTCCTTTTTTGAGGCAGGGCTCTAGTTCTGCTTGGGAAATACTGGATGTCTGAGGAGCTAGCTGACAGGCCAGGTGGGAGACTACAGGGAGAACCTTCCTGGGGCTGTGAGGAAGAAAGCCCAGTTTATTGGTTTCTTTTTGTGTTGCTGACTGGACTCAGGTTGACGTGACCATCTAAGAGGATGAGGTACTGTTGGGGAGCACAGACAGATGAAAAACTGGCAAAAAAAAAATAATTGTAACATTTGAAATGTTGCTAAATATCAGTAGCAAAAGCTATAGTAATGATGATGTCGTTATAGCTAAGAGACCAGCTAACTATTTTTACCCAGTGTGTTTTGAATCCTGTGATACATTGCTGTTTCCTTCGTGTTACACTCGGGCCACAGCTACTACTGTTATAGGCAATATACAGGGCATCCCCCCGTGGAGAGATAAGGTGATGCTCAGTAAAGCACTGAAGTAACCGTTTGAACAGATAGCCACGGTTCATGAGTTGGGCAGCTCCGAACTGCAGGTGGCTTGCAGCTCCAGGAATGGTGGAGTGGGGTGGGGGTCATAAGGTGAGTATTGAAGCACAGTGAAGATGCGACTGTCCAAAGTGGGGGCAGTAGCCTTCAGTCTCTGGTTAGAGGCAAGCAGGCACTTTCTGATGGATAAAGCAAGTCTCAGCTCCCAGCTGTGGTCCTTGCTGCTGAGTCGACTTTCTAGTTTGCTTAGATAGCATCCCAGGACACCACAACTGCCTCAGCCTAATCACCACCCATTCAATTATCCTAACATAGGGCAGCTCCAAGACTGGCAGCTCCAAGACCTGAAGACTGGATGACTAAGAGACAGATGCTTCATTATATAGCCATTATACTGCCTCCTTTTAATATTAATATTCTTGCTTCTTGTATCTGACTGAGATGCCACTCGATCCACGGTCACTATCACCAACAAAGTGACGTGTCATTGGGAAAAGATCTCTAGATGTGGGTAGAAGAGGGGGACAGACAGTCTTCTGTTCTGACGCGGTGGCCAGTTAAGGTGGCAAGCCTCCCTTCCCATAGGCTGGTCGCGCTGACAACATCCGACAGGCATGTTTTAATTTAATTAGGTTGAAGAGGTAAGAAAGAGCAGTTTTGGGGTGTGGTTTTCTTGGGGTGGTGTGGAGATGCATAAAGGCATTTTTTTAAATGGTGTTTTAGTTGGGCAATTACAGAGGTTGAGTAATTTAGTGTTTTGGATGGGAAAAGTCAACACTACAGTCGGGGATGAGGATACAGGCTGCCAGGCAAAGAGGATGGCACAGTTGATGGGTACCTCCCGCTGGGAGACCCAGACGCTACCAAGCATCCTCCTGGCACTGTCTGGGTGATTCTTGCCCTTTCCCCCTCTCCCTGCTGTGTGCCCTGGGTACTTGGCACATGAGGAGTATGTCCCGAAAGTCAGATGTAAGAAAGAAAATGAAACAAAGTAGAAGGTATTTTGCTTTTCAGGTTTTCACCCTGTGCTGGCTAGTTTTATGCTAAATGGATGCAATCTGTAGTCATCTGAGAGGAGGGAACCTCAATTTAAAATATGATTCCATAAGATATGGTTGTAGTACATGTTCTTAATTAGTGACTGATGGGGGAGGGCCCAGGCCATCATGGGTAGTTCTATCCCTAAGCCGGTGGTATGGGTTCTATAAGAAAGCAAGCTGAGCAAGCCATGAAGAGCAAGCCAATAAGCAGTATCCCTCTATGGCCTCTGCATCAGCTCCTGCCTCCAGATTTCTGCTCTGTTTGAGTTCCTGTCCTGAGTTCCCTCAGGGATGGATTGTGACCTGGAGATATAAGAGAAATAAATCTTTTCCTTTCCAAGTTGCTTTTGGTTATGGTGTTTCATCACGGCAATAGACCCTAACTAAAGTACTTCTCAGTAGCAACTATCTCTCTTCCTATCTCTCTCTCTCTCTCTCTCACTCTCTCTCTCTCTCATATCTACAAGTCCACAAGTTGCTGACTAATTGTTAATTATTTTGGGAAAACTTATTCTGGAGCAGATACAGGATTTGATTTTAGAGCCTCCCTCCCACTTAAACTACAGACCCTAGATCTAGCAGCTTTTGTATTTGTAAATAAAGCTTTACTGACAACCAGCTGTGATCATTTGCTTGTGTATTATCTAATTCTATTTGCTCTTCAATGGCAGTGTGAATGCTTACAGCAGGAGTCATATGACCCAACTGCTTGTTACCTGACTTTCACAGGAAGAGATTGTGGGTTCCTGCGTTTGACTATTATGCAGTCTCTCAAGAACTAAGATCTTGGAGCAAAAAACAACCATATCTTTTCACAGACAAGGGAAGCAAATTCTTTTATTGCCACAGCCAGTTTAATATTGTATTTTAAAAGAAGACGGGAAAACTGAATGTAATTTGAAGAAAATCAATAGTTATTACATGCCCTTAAGGAGAGTCAAGCTTTAAGATAGATTGGAAAGCTAACGTTGTGACAATGGCCTCCAGGCTATTCAAAAAGTCGGCAGATGCTTAGTATTTTCTATCTCCATATAGGAAAGTCCCCCTCTTCCACTGCCCAATTTGAATGGTTCATATATTAGAATCAGGTTTCTGAGGATGATTAGAGCCTGGAGATCTTTAAAACAGCTTAGGAACAGCTGTTCCAAATGACACAAGCTGAGAATGACCACTATTGCCAGGCAGCACCCCAACTCGTCTTTATTCTGTACCAGTTGGAAGCCAGGTACAGGTATCATAGAAGCACATGAAGACCCATACTCAACTACATACATATCTATGATTGTTACATATGTAACCTTGACTACACTCAAAATCATCTGGAGGCTTGGGAGTTGCCTGTCAAACATGGTAGGAAGCATCTAGCATATGAGATGAAGGACCCCTTGACGATTGGGGTTCTGAAAGCAGTGATAGAGCTATTACTGTAGGCCTTAAGGAACATCTTCAGCAATAATTTCTAGCACTTGTAGATTCAAGGAAAAAATGTGCAAAATATCGATTTGTCACAGTACATGTCATGGCCTAATACAGTCACTATTAATGGAATTCAGCTTCAAAATTGTTGAACGGTTCTTGATGGAAAGTTTTTCTAACTCTCAGATGCTACAAGCATTGCTGTGCGCTGCATAAAGATGAACGCATCCTGTGCTCTGCATGTTTGTAGACTAAAGCACCCCATGTACTTCATATATGTAGACTAAAGCACCCTGTGTGGGCTGCACGTATGCACACTAAAGCATCCTGTGCACTGCATGTAGACTGAAACATCCTGTGTCCTCATGTAGACTGGAGTGTCCTTTGTACTGCCTGTAGACTACCCGGGCAATACACAGTGACTTTATATTAACCGTGAGCTCTGAAGGGTAAGAATTACGTATAAATCTCACTATTTCCGGTTCTTAGCATAGCCTTGCACATTGTAGATATAGGGAAAACAATCCTTTTAGAGCAATGGGAGCAGAGCTGCTGTGTCAGGTGTGCACTAAGCATATATTCAGAGAAAGCAGGACCGCTGCGAGCTAATTAAACACTCTCTGCTGTCTGGGAGACAGTTACTTCCAGGTCTTGTTCTTACACTCTCCTGCCCTTCCCACAGCTCTAGCAAGTTCATCTCAGTTTGGATCTGCCCACAGGTAGCCAACACGCTTCAGCTGCATACTTCTACAAGTTCACACTGTGTCTGGACAATAATGCTTGGAATTTATATTGAGCCTTTCATCTTTGAAGTTCAGCGTTCTGGCTCTAATCTTTATGACTTCTTGCAGAAGTAGGAAGTCATTATTTTGATTTTAATTTTACAGGCCGAGGTGTGAACATGTGACAGACATCCAGGTTCAAGGGTCTGTTCAGGGGCC